ACAAAATGTGTGTATATTTCAAAATATGAAATTCCATTTTTCATTCAATCGACAAAACGAAATTCAATTAGCAACTGCGTCAACTTTATTCAAGCCGTAAACAGATATTGCTTTGCTCGTCCGTACATCAATCTCAACAACACGAATAACGAATACATTGACAATATAATGGATGTTCAGTAATTTATAGTCACAATAGAGGACAAAATGTCCCTGTTTATATTCATGCAAGCGGCCATCAGCCGCGCAAATTGCCGACTTAAAATTTGTTCGACTAATAAATTGTCACGCAATCGATATTAGCTCGCCTTATTGAATAATACCATCCATTTACTGGGGCTATATGACATAATATGTCAGTGTGCTTTTTATAATTATAAAATTCGACGATAGTTATTACACAATAGTTAATAACTTGCCTAATTTTAACCTTCTTTTCATCCCCATTATATTCCTATAAGAAAAAGCAGGGGAAGAATATTTGACGGAGGAGGGTCCCATCCTAAGTAAGCGTAGTAAAGGGAAACCTTCTCTTTCTGTGCGTCTCATCCTCAGTCGAGTAATAAAGAATATTGAATACAGTCAAGGACGTTTATTCCCAACCCATTTCGGTAATATTCATGCCAATTTGACGACAACTACGTAGATCTGTTATTGCGAGAGTTTGCTATGCGATATTCGACCTTAAATGGGAAGCGAATTAAATTCTCTGACTATACCTAATATGTAAGAAATTGTCTATACAAATAACTGGTTCTGTCAAGTTTCATTAATCTCTGTGCAACCGCTGCGGAATATTAGACATGTGCGTTCGACACCGGAAATTAATTGCAACATTGTTACCATGTTGCAAATATTTTAAAAAATGGGCATTTTGTATAATTTCTGATATTAAAATCACTATACGTCCCCACCGAGGGGCTTGGAGCCTACCCTAAGTTAGGGGTGCCTAGGCCATAGTCAACCACGCTGGCCAAGTGCGGGTTGGTTGACTTCACACATATCTTTGAATTTCTCAGATATATGCAGGTTGCATCACGATGTTTTTCCTTCACCGTAAGAACGTCGGATAAATGTACATATGTAAATCGGAAAAAGAAAAACACATTGATACATGGCGGGATTCGAACCTGCAGATTGCAAGTCAAGTGCTTGACTCGTTACATAAGCTCAAACTTGCGCTGCAACAAGAACAAAGTCCAGACAAACGCGGTATTCGTTAATTAATTACCGCCACAATACAATCTCAGAGTCGCTACAGCACTTAAGATAATTACACATTAATTGATATAATCGAGAATAAGGTCTCTTGAGAATAGAAATAAGAAAATATTAATCTAACACATACCTAATTATTTATAATAACACACTTAATTAAAAGTATATTTTTAATACTGTAAATGTATCCGATGTTCTTACATTAAAAGGAAAACTTCGTAATGCAAAATGCCTAGCACGAATATTTGCAACAAGCACCTTAGTATCATCTACAATATTTGTATTTAAATGTGTGCAGCGCATATCGGACGTAAAACAAACCAATCGCCATTGTCACAAATGTTCGTGTACCTATATCCGTAGCAATTAATACATATGTGAAGTCAATCGATTCGCATTAGCCCAGCTTGGTTTACAAGTCACTCCTAACAGGGCAAACTCGTTCTCCTCTATGATGAGACTCGAAGACGTATTTTGTTAGATGACATAAATAAATAAACATTATGATTTAAAATAAAAAACGTCTATTTTATTTATGTAAAGATTCATTCGTATTGAAAAACTATATTAGACGCTGAAATAACTTCAATATACTCCAAAATAAAATTACAAATTTATGACAAACAAACAGAATACTATTTTATGTTTTTGTTAAGGTTAAGGTAACTAAAAACCCCAAACCCCTTAATAAATACTAATAACTATTGTTTTTTTTAGTACTTAAAATAACTTTAGACTTGCTGGTATAGAATTTTAAACGTTCTGTGATTTATTAAACGGCAAATATGTTTTCAATCATGAAATATATTAATTAACTAAACATATCCTATTGCAATTATAAATAGCGGTTATTTGAATGCGAGCTTTC